GTTCATCCAGCTCTACACCTTGTTATCTCAGATTCTCCAGCTCCTACTATCTCTGAAACAATTATAATGTTATGGCTGGTTTCTGCTATAGTGTCCGTAAATGGATCTGAAAGGGTTAATACGGAGGAGCTATAAGCAACACCCACTATGTCGATGTCATATGAACTTATGGGTGAGATACTCTTCCGTGGGTCAGTGTGGACTCAATGGGCCAAGTGGCCTACTTCCATACTGTAGAGACTCTAAGATAGTCCTTCATGGTAACCTTAGCTGATGATGGGAATTGAACCCATGGTGTTAGTATCATACTGCTTCGCAAACCAACCATCCAGCCAACTGAGCTAAATATAGACTAGTATAGCCTAGGAACTTATTGGTTAAAACGTAATCTTTGGTTCTCCTCAAGGAATCTGTAACAATATCCATCAGACCAAGGCGAAGTAATTTGCTACAACTGACCCCAAGTCCATGTCTTTTGGATTTCACCAACACTTTAACATGACACAATATGTAAACAGTCCAACCAGGGAAGGGGTTATACTGGAGTTGGTTTTGGGAAATGAGCCTGACCAAGTGAGTGAAGTTTCAGTAGGGGAGCATTTCAGGATTAGTGACCATAATACTGTGAGTTTTAAGATACTCATGGATAGGGATAACAGCAGTCCTCGGGTGAAGGTGATAAATTGGGGGAAGGCAAGCAACAACAATATTAGGCAGGAACTGGAGAATTTTGATTGGAGGTAGCTGTTTGAGGGTAAATCCACATTGGACATGCGGGAGTATTTCAAATGGCAGTTGATAAAAGTTCAGGAGAGGCACTTTCCTGTGAGAATGAAGGATAGGTATGGCATGTTACTTGAACCTTGGATGACCAGGGATGTCATGCCCTTGGTCAGAAAGAGAAAGGAAGCATACGTAAGGTCCAGGAGGATGGGAACTGATGAAGCTTTTGAAGTATATAAGGAAAGTAGGAAATAACTTAAGCAAGGAATTAGAAGGGCTAAAAGGGGTCATGAAAAGTTGATAGCAAACAGGATTAAGGAGAATTCCAAGGCTTTTTATGCATATATAAAAAACAAGAGGGTAGCCAGGGAATGGGTTGGCACACTCAAGGACAAAGGAGGGAATCTGTGTGTGGAGCCAGAAGAGATAGGTGAGGTCTTAAACGAATACCTTATGTTGATATTCACCAAAGAGAAGGAATTGGCAGAGGATGATCTCAGGGAAGGGAGTGTCGATCTTCTAGGCCAAGTGCTATTAAAAAGGAAGAGGTGTTGTGCGTCTTAAAAAGTATCAAGGTAGATAAGTCCCTGGGTCCTGATGGGATCTATCCCAGAATACTGAGGGAGGCAAGAGAAATTGCTGGAGTATTGACAGACATCTTTGTATCCTCTTTGGCCACAGGTGAGGTCCCAGAGGCCTGGAGAACAGCCAATGTTGTCCCATTGTTTAAGAAGGGTAGCAGGGAATTATAGGCATGTGAGCCTCACGTCAGTGGTAGGGAAATTATTGGAAAAGATTCTCAGGGACAAAATCTATATGCATTTAGAAGCAAATGGACTTATTAGCAATAGACAGCGTGGTTTTGTGTGGGGGGAGGTTGTGCCTCACTAACTTGATTGTGTTTTTTGAGGAGTTGACGAAGATGATCGATGAGGAAAAAGCAGTTGATGTTGTCTACATGGACTTCCATAAAGTTTTTGACAAGGTCCCTCATGGCAGACTGGTACAAAAGGTGAAGTCACATGGTATTAGGGGTGAGTTGGCAAGATGGATACAGACTGGGTTAGTTATAGGAGACAGAGGATGGTGGTGAAAGGATGCTTTTCAGAATGGAGGGCTGTGATTAGTGGTGTTCCACAAGGATCAGTGCTGGGACCTCTGCTGTTCGTGATCTACATAAATGATTTGGAGGAAAACATAGCCAGTCTAATTAGTAAGTTTGCAGATGATACAAAGATTGATGGAGTCGCGGATAGTGAGGAGAATTATCAGAGGATATAGCAGGATATAGATAAGTTGGAGGCATGGGCAGAAAAATGGCAGATGGAGTTTAATCTGGACAAGGTGAGGTGATGCATTTTGGAAGGTCAAGTACAGATGAAATTATCCAGTGAGTGGCAGAACTCTTAGGAGTATTGAGAGGGGACTGAAGGTGGCAGCGCAGGTAGATAAGGTAGTAAAAAAGGCTATGGCATGCTTGCCTTTGTTGGAAGGGCATTGAGTATAAGGATAGGCGAGTTATAATGCAACTTTATAGAACTTTAGTTAGGCCACACTTGCAACATTGCATACTACCAGAAGGATGTGGATGCTTTGGAGAGGGTACAGAAAAGGTTTACCAGGACATTGCCTGGTATGGGGGGCTTTAGCTATGATGGAAGGTTGGATAGACTGGGTTTGTTTTCACTGGAACGCAGGAGGTTGAGGGGCAACCTGATAGAAGTTTATAAGATTGTGAATGGCATGGATAGAGTGGAAAGTATGAGGCTTTTTCTGATGGTGAAGGGGTGAATTACATGGACTCACAGGTTCAAGGTGTGAGGTGGGGGGGAAGTTTAAAGGAGATGTGGGAGGCATGATTTTCAAACAAAGGATGTTGAGCACCTGGAATGTACTGCCAGAGGAGGTGGTGGAACCAGACAGTAGCAGCATGCAAGAAGCACCTGGACAAATACAAGAATAGGAAGTGAATAGAGGGATACAGATCCTGTAAGTGAAGACTGTTTTAGTATGGAAGGGCAAAATGTGTCGGCATAGGCTTGTTGGGGGTGAGTGGCCGAAGGGCCTATTCCTGTGCTGTATGTTCTTTGTTCTATGCCTCTGGTCTTCATTTTCTATATATTTTGTGACTGTTTTAAAAAAACAGAATTGCCCAACAAAATCTATTGAACACAGAATGGGCAAGTTGGCTGCTTCTCAAAATTTCCAGCAATTACCATTACAAAACAAAGCTCATCACTCTAGAATGCCACACTTCCCATTTGTATGAATATTACAGTCAAACTAATATTAGATGAAATGTCTGCCTCAGCCTGTTCTGAACAAAGGAAACCACTGAAACATGTTATGCATGAGGTGGCACCAATGACTTCACCGTTATCTGCTACAAAACACAATAGGTTTTGAACATGATATCAAAACCTATCTCATAAGCTTTGTGGCTTTGTCTGCCTGT